GTGTAACTAACTACAGATAAATATAATCAAATACTGGATAAAAAATTTATTTTAAATATAAAAAATCTAAAATATAATTAAGATAATTATATTATTAAATCAAAAATAAATTACTTCGTTATTAAAACTAAATTAAAGTATAACAAAAAAATTGAATTTAAAAAGTTACATAACAAAACAATAACTTTTAAATAGTTAATTTGATACTAATGTCGATGTATTTTATAAAAAATTTAAGATATCATTAAATTTATATTATATTCAAAAATAAAAACATTATTTTTTTTCTCAAAACCACATAAAAACTGTATTATAACATTGACAGATGATAGAATAAAACTAAACATTAAAAACAAAATGAATCTCGCTGTATTTTGCAAATATCTTTCTAGTTTTTTTAAAAATACCGATAGTTTCTTTATTCTGAAATTAATTATATATTTAATAAATACTATTTTTTAAAACATTTAATTTAAAATGTTTTATGAAAATAGTGTAAGAATGAAAGTTAAGATGAAAAGCGATAAAACATAAAAAGGGATCTGGACCCTTAATCATCGTCAATCTCAAACCTAAATCATATTTGATACAGAGATTGATATGATGTATCTCATCCTAATGTTTATTCAAGGATGAAGATATCTTATACTTCTCATTTTAACTCTTATTTTCACAGAAACTCAAATCTATAAAAATAATTAAAAAAAATTCTCCTAAAATTTATGTTCCAGATTCATATAATTTTGTCATCTCTCTCTTTAATTTTTTCTATTTTTAAAAATGTTTTAAGAAATTTCTTGATGCAATAACAGTCTAAGATACTTAAATCATTTTTTCAATCGTAGGTATCTGGACCAATTTGTGTGTATCTCGACTAATCTTAGGAGCCCTGGAGGTACAGCCAAAAAAATCCACACTAGCTTTGCATGATTCAAATCGATGATCTATGAGGAGATTCCTTAGAAACCCAAACATTATCGACAATTAAGCTAACCTCACAAGATCCTTCATTTTCTTTATTTTAAAAATTTGTAGAAAATACTCTTAAAAACTTATTATATCTCTGATTTAATTAATAATTCTAATAAACATTTAAAACTTACATAATATTAAGAACACAAAAACTAATACATGTTACTACTGATTGGCCATCAATTTAATTTATACAGTAAATATACATACTAGTTATCTGCAAAGCAGGTGGTCGTCCTGGGATTAGTCGGCTCGCATAGCGGGTTAGATATCCAGGTTAATCAAAAAAATGTATATATACATGCTAGTTGTGTAACCACACAATGCGGTAGGAGCCGTAAATTTTAACGATTTTGAAGTTTCATTGGTTTTATTAGAGAAAATCTAACGATAATATAAGTTACACTTGGTCTTTACATATTAATACAATTTGAATAAATAAGAGTTATGGTTCCAATTACAGTCTATCGATGAAAAAATTGTATGACAGTTTAAAATCCAACATATTTAAACGACTTCACAAATGTTGGTTTACACGAAGAACAAAGAATCAAGAGATCAAGAGCAAGACCGAGAGTTGTAGAGCAATTGAATGAGAGAACTTTTAATAACTCATGATGAATATCAGTTTGAATCTCATATTCGGGATGAAGAGAAGACATAGAGGTATGATAAGGCGAAGACATGAGTAAAATGTGTCAAAAGCATCTTGGAAACATGAAAAAATAATATAATAATGTGCATAGTATTTAATGCATTATGAGTTGTTTTGAAGATTTTATGCATAAATGTATAGTACATTGAGCATTAATGTATATTACTTTACGGATTAAAAGTTATTTTTAATACTTTTGATAAATCTGGTTTATAAAATAATATAGATTAATTGATTTAATTTAATAAAAAATTACAAATCTCTAGATCATACTAAAGAACTTGTACTAGTATATTTTTATGTATTTAAAAAGCATAGATCTAAAAATGTTACTGGCTGGAAAATGGGAGTAATAATGTAATTGACTAATGACTGGCAAGCAGCCCATATGGTTTGCGTGTAGGTAGGTGGGTGGGTGGGGAGGAAAGGGTGCCAGTAAACCAGACTTTACCCAAATTGCCCTTCAACGGCTCTCCGTGGCTGTCTGTCTTTTACTGCGCAATTCCCCTTCCCCGGGATTATTATTATTATTTTATTAATTATTAATTTCGTAAGACTGTAATCATTATTAATTTCGTAAGACTGTAATCATCATCATAATAATAATAATAATAATAATAATAATAATAATATTATTATTAAATTAAATAAATGTAACCTTAAAAGCAGGTTGGTTTTTATTAAAGTGTGAAGCAGAAATGGCACGTGACGCAAGAAGAATAGGAATCCCCGAACAAGTGCCAGCTTCCATTCCATCTATCTTACTTACTGCCCCCACTTCTTTTTCCTTTTTTGTCCTTCACTCTCATATTACAAACAAAATTTCTCAATTTTATCTTAAATAAAAATAAGAAAGAATATAGGTTATATAATCTATTAATTAAAAACTATTATTATTATAAATAAAAAGTAGAAAATAGTTTTAGAAGTTATAGATCTTTTATGATTTAAATATTATCATATATTCACATGTGATAATAAATGACTTATATTTATACGTATATTATCATATAAGATATATATAAAAATTCACATAGTGGATCATATATGATACATAAAATCATATATTAAAAAACTAATTATACGTGATTCAAATCGTGAATACAAAAAAATAAAGAAAAATGGTGAAAAAGATAGTGAATTGATTATGGATATCAAATGTGATATTTGATGAAAATTGAAAATATTTTTTTTGAAAATCAAACCCACATCATTAGCTTGGAAGGCTAGATCCTTTTTTAAACATGCTCCTCAGCCTATGCGGTATTAGCAGCCGTTTTCAACTGTTGTTCTCCTCTAATTAGAGCGGGTAATAACTCAAATTAAGAAACCGATTGGTCGTAGGTTCGAATCCTATTTGAGGAGATTAGAAAATCAAAAGTGTATATAGAAAAAAAAGATTATATAAAACTTGATAAAAAAAATTATGAATTACTTAAAATTCAAAAATAAATAAAACTAAAAGGCATAATGATTTTTCATTTTTTTATTTATGGTATTTTTTAATTAATGGATTATGTGACCCATATTCCTTCTCATTTTTCTGCAAATTAATTTTCTTCTCGCATGATTCTCCCTATATATACACATATACATAGAGGAAGAATCATGTGAGAAATTAAACATTTTGCGAGAAGTTAAACATTTTGAAAGAAGACGAGAAGTTTCAGTATCATATACGATTATACTCTTTTGGGTGTGTTCAATCATATATGAATAACCGTCTATGTGTTGTCAATACAACACGTGTTTAATCATATATTATTAAGTTTGTTTATCATGTGTATAATTATATATGATATTGAAACTTTTCGCCTTCTTGCAATATGTTTAGCTTCTCGTTTGAACTTGCCCTTATATATATAAATGGTCTAATTAAATGAGAACTCAGTAATATAAGATAACTGTGAGATCCAATGTGAGTTACTCAATAAAGATAATTATTTTATTTATTATATAAATAGAAAATGGTAATTTAGTAATAAAAAAGATAACCCATAAATGCGTTTAATTAATTTATTATTTTCATTCCTATTAATAGAAAATATGTAAATCTCTACAGTGTGTTATCTTTGAATCTTTGGTGCTAATAATACAAATTGTATTTTTGTTGTTTAGTTGTTTCATTTGTATCACATTTTGTGTTTTGGTTGTTTTGCAGTGTATCACATCTATTGATCATCTCTTTCAGTGATTTGATGATGATCAATTTTATCTATCAAAGTGTATTATCTCTGTATTCAGTTTCATCGATTATCACTGAGTCTGTTCAGTGATCGCTGAACATGTATTGTAATTCATTCAGAGACCAGTATCATTCAAGAAGACAAAACTCACACAACAGATCCTTCAATGATATCGAAGATAGAACCTAAAAACTATAGACCAGCAAGTTCGTGATCTGAAACGGTTTTCAGTGATAACAAGCTCGTCGATACAAGTGTAAAATCTACGCAAGATTCAGTGAACACTGATGAGACCTTCAGCGTCATTCCAGTGTTCAACGATCAAATGAATCTTGTTGAGCAAGATAGTTTTTGTCTTGTCCTTTTGCACACAAAGAACAAACCCATACCTTTCAAAGTAAAATATTGTACGGAGTCACTCCATTGTCTCCAAACATGCTTACCTACTTTAAGAAAAAAGATTATTCATATACGGCCAAAAGACTGTATACTACAACAAAGGACAAGTTTACCTCTTAAAGCATGCCACGTGCTTTGTGCCTTTTGAATTTCATTTAATGCAATGAGTATAAATAGCTGAGTAATTCTCTCTTCTCGATTACGTCTTCCTCATCTTATCTTACTTAAGAAGATACTCATCCCTCTACTCTCTACCTAAGAGAAAGACTCACTGTAACAAGTGAAGAGCAAATTACTTCTTAACCTATTTCTTGTAGCAAGTATTTTCTTCTTGTTGTTTATAACTTTGTGTGTATCTTTGATTGTTTAGATAAGTTCTATATCCTATCTCTTCCGCCAACAATCTGTAAAAATATGCTATTGATGTTCTTTATCAGTATAAGTTTTTAAAAGTGAAAGTTGTTGTGTTTGTATTCATGCACCCTA